ACACGCATGGAGCCCCACTAACAGTTTTATTGATTTTCAAAGGCAAACTATTCATAGGAAAAAAATACACAAAAGCAAACAGCACACCCACCACAATAACTCTCAGTTAATCCACAAAAATTTGAACAATGACTTGCGATACAAACCTGCAATGATAAGTGTAACTGCACTTCTATGTGTTATGCTACCAGTTAGCTCACATTGAAATTTGGTGTTGTCTTTAGGAGTTATATTCTCAATGACCAGGGTAGCATTTCCTTCAAGCCTCACTCTCCCTTTGTAAAGTGGAGGTATGTTTTGATGTATCTTGAAGCCACCATTTTGTTTGTAAAGCATTGATTTATATTCTTTACCGTTTTGACCATCTACCAGAACACTTAATAAAATGCCTCTGAATGCATTGTTGGTGTCACTGTAGTCCCAAACCAGTTTGGCATTGGTCCCATTGTTAACGTAGGTTGGATCTGACGGTTCCTTGGTAAACTTAACATCTGCCTCTACAACTATAATAGAAAAAAGTAGCTGACAACCCTGGTTAAAAGTGAACAACCATTCAAATACCGGTTGTCATCGTGTCATTCCTGAATAAAGTCCAAACAACCTTAGTGGTTCTTTCCATCTCATTATATCCCAGTGACACCTCCACGTCTCGGTAATCCATGGGGTGCTGAAAGTATAACCCTCTTGAGTCAATTACTATGTTAAGTTAATTGCTCTCAGTTAAAGCCAACAGAGGGAATCCAACAAGAACTGTGTAAGATTGTCCTAATGTAGTCTACTTATATAATGTTATTGAACTCACAAATGTACCTTAACATGGTTGTTGTGTCTTTTCTATTTAATTATGGGAAAACGTATCTACCATAGCCATGAATCGACAATAATCTTTATCATTCTCCAGTAATATTTAAATCTGCTAGTCCCACCAGGTCAACCTCCAAATATAAGTGGGTAGTCTACACATATTCACTTGTCATTCATATTGATGATCACGGCCACTAACGTAAACCAATCTGTAAGGTGGTACTCGTGTAAAGCTATCGATTTCTGATAATACCAGCTTGTATGTAAGTACCATACAGAGTGACTTTCCATGAACTATTTTATATTTATTTAATGTAAATATAATATGCTGTTTTGAATAAATTGCTATAAATAGATTTTGTAAAAAATGTTCTTCTGCCTGAGCCCCGATTTACTTGAATTGATTACTTATATGCAGAACATTAAATTAAAGAACCCTCAGTTGAAGAGACTGAGAAGATCTTTAAAATGGAAGTTAGCGAATGGTAGGATTTGCATAGGCCCGTTAACACTTTTAAACTAAACATTACTTCGTCAGTTGAGTACCATACGATAATGACGACGTTTGAATCGACCCTTGCTTGAGCTCAATATTAGAAAGAAATGTTCTTGCTCGATAAAGACAAATAAACGACAAAGGGGAGGTACGAAAGCTACGCTACTGGTTGATAATGAAACACAAATACAAAGCCTCGAAATGTGATGTTAGTCAAAGAGAACTTAGCAAGGGTGAGTTTACGTATCTATTTTTTATTTTCTACTTCACAAACAATTAAACAATTAATTACGCACAAGCATTATGTAATGCTGTAATTGCACTTAAAGTAGGGACTTCAGTCATACATTTTATTAGGTTGTCAAGGCACATTAAAAGTAGCAAGAACGAAAGGACGACACTGAAACACTGAAAAGATTCTGAATGGATAAGAGGCCAAAATCAAACAGGAAGTGATTGTGTTGTTGGTACTGGCACTGTTTGATTTCACTTCAAGCGAGCGTGGATTTTTATAGTTATAAGCTTTTTCTGGCCCAGTTTCATTAAGAGGTGGATCAGTTTTCAGCGTTTCGAATCTAAGATGTCTATTATCTTATTTTAAACTACGCTGTGATTTGTAGAAACCAGCTTCTGTAACCATATGCATTATATCAATACCCTCCAAAACATATTTAGTAGCTACAAGTTAACTTCTGTTTTATCAGTTTTGTAATTGGACCTATGAGTGTAGCCACATGCTTACGAAAGCTGAATTAGTGAACCTTTTAAAGTAGTTTTCCGTTCGATTTCGGGTGGCCTTGTCAGGTCCCTACTATTAACGTTTTTTTAATCTTAACCCCTAAAGTGAGACCGATATGGGAGTACCTTAAATAAACAAAGGCAAAGTTGTCGTCAACGCGTACCAGCTACTCTTTTTCATGACTGCACTGTTATGATGAGCCTAAGGGTACTTCGAGACAATAGGTCGACTCGAAAAACACGATTAACTACTACATTTTCCCAGTTTACTGATACATATAAGATTACATTTTCGGTATAGGTATTCTTACATATAAGATTACATTTTCGGTATAGGTATTCTTATTGTATTCGCTCCGAAGAAGGGCTAACGCTCGAAACGTCAGCTTTTGTAATCTTTACGGTGGCCAATTTACCATTTCAACTTTCTTGATATTTCCAAATTATTTCGTTACCCCCACCGACGCAGCCCCAAACAGTTTCTTTACAAACTATCAGCCTTTAATCTTAAAAGACATCGTTACTTACCCGGAAGAAGATAAAGACCAACAATAAGCACACAGCAACGAAGGAGAACTCGTTCGTCAAACATAGTGGTGAGTTAAAAAAGACTCGGCAACGACCTGTAACATAAAATAACTAGTATGACTTTTAACGACTCCAGGTCAGTCACGCACGTCTCTGAGTCTGCCCCAACCTTCTGACGTCCAGGGTCTTTGTTGTTTGTTGTAACATATCATTCCCTCATGATACTTAAACATCATCAAGCTATCATCAGATAGACTGTTGTGTACTGTACAGCTTGATGAAAACACCATTGACCATCCACACAAATACTGAACTGTAATACTGTACACTTACACTCTTAAGGGAGCTATTGACGTCATTGAATATGAGTTGGATAAGCTGTATGTTATGAAATTATAGATAAGCGTCTACAGTTAAGGAAGTTTGTTAGCAAGCAGTGTAGAGGAACCTAGGTTAAATAGATTTTTAAAGTGAAATAAACATTCTGACGGTAAGACCGTTAAATGTGCCAGGGCCTGGAAAGCGTCAGAAGGAAGACCGGGTATGTGGGGTACACTCATATCGGTTAGGATCACGTGATATTGAGGAGCGGGAGTAAGAGGTTCCATTTCTTCGAAACTGTACCGAGCTTGTTGGATTGTACTCGCAACTGAGACTTAAGTAGTACAAGGAGGCTTTTTGTGGTGCCTCCGAGATTAGTTCTTGGTTAAATTCATATTATTTCTCAGCAATTCCAATTCTTAGCAATCAGTTGAGCTCTACGTAGGAATTTGAACTGAACATTCGAACCCTGAACACGAAAGGACTTTAAGAAAAAGTTAATAGGAGTGGAAAGAACACGTGGTTGGGTTATGGATATATAATTAAAAACGAGTGAATTTTGGTCTCAACAACTACTCTGAAATTAAACGTCAGCCATTTTCCCAAACGAGTCACGAGTCACTGTAACGACGTTTGCATATATATGCCGCCACAATTGATTTGAAAGTTCATGGACTGATTCACGGGCACGCTAACAAGAAGTCTACGTTGCCATGGGAACCATGGTCTCTAAAAGGTAAATTGATTAATTGTGCTCGCACCCTGCCCAGACACCAATTAAAACAGTCTTTTTATTTTCATCTGGAAGGAACTCACAAGAGTGTGTGAAGCGATGGGGGAAGCGTAGAACGAAAAACGTGGCGAATGGAATAGATGCATTGTGGATTATCGTGAAATAGTTGTGACAAAGTGATTGGCGTCATTATCCACAGATATTTTTCATTACAGTGTAAAGAGATTCTTCTCACGATTTTGTTCAATTTTTTTTATCTATCAATGGCGGGAAAATGGCACGCATAAAAATTTCGTCAAGATAAGATATAGAGCAAGAAGGATCATTGTTTATGAAAAAATGTATCCTTTTGTGATTATCCTTCACAGAACCATAACTTGCATTTTGCATTTTGAGACGAACTGCGACACGGTATAGGAACGAACCAGGAAGCAAACATTTCGTAAGGATCGTCCCTGAACATGTATATTCTATTAAACATATGTTGAAGCGTTACAATGTTTTGTCGATTTAATCATGGTATTTTATTATTATTTTACCATTTGACTTTTACGTTACAGTCATATTTCGCACGGTTCTGGCTGCTGATTGCTTTAGCTACCGCGGACCTCCAAACAAACTGGACTGTGTCACTCAGCATATAATAGGCTCTTAAACCTTGTGAGGTTTTTCGATAATTCTATTAGTTCCTTAGAAAATCTCTTTCGGTTGTTGTCATGCTCCTGGACGTTACGAGAGAAACATTTCCAAAGTCGTTAAAGTCTCACACACTGACGAACATTCTGGCAAATTTTCATGAAAATCTAACGGATATACCTAGGTAACTTGCGTAAAAACAAACCTCGAGTTTTCGGCCTCAAATTTCTTTTATATTTGTGAAGTGAATTATTTTATTTCTGTCGAGTTTTTGGCCCCCAATTTCCTATCTTTTTCAAATTAATTATTTTGTCTTCTTTTAAAAAATGTAATAATAGCTATCATAACTTCAGAATGCCCTTTACTTAATTATAGAATGAGAGGGTTTGTGGAAGGTCTCCACGTTTTTTTTTTCGAACTAAGCTGTTTGTAAGGTAAAAGATTGGCATTAAATTTGAAATGGAAAAACACATTTTTACAGAGAAAACACCGTTTTCTTACTATTTTATTACCGTCCCATGGAAAATTGAATCAAGGTCAACTTGTGAGATGTAACTGCCACATCCACAAGTCCACACGTACAAGTGTATGGTTGCCGAAATGTAGCAAACTTGGATAAAAATTATTTTTATTCAATAAAAATATATTTGCGTTCGATAAAAGTATTTTCATTACATTATGGCGGAAGGTTGTGCTCTCGTGACTACAGCTTTCTTGGCGATATTCTTGGCCTCTTTGGGCAATTTGCCTCCGCACAATGGCCTCCTCGACCATTATTACCATCGTGCACAATCAGGAAAGATCGTTTCTTGGCCACGAGTATTTTTCAGTGCAAATGTAGACGTTGGTGCTACCGCTGTCGTTACACGTGGTAACTTTCGAAAATTTAGGAAGTTCCACTCGAGGCGTTTTAAATACTATTCAAATGCCTCCTGTGCTTTTAACCCAGCTGTTTTCAAGATCCTACACAGTGGTGATGTTGAAATAAATCGCGGTTACGTACCTAAAAGCACCAGAGGACCTCGAAGACAGAATCACACTTCGAAGTTGAAGGTATTCTACACAAACGCCAGGAGCATTGTCAAAAAAGTTACCAAATTACAACTGCAACTGGCTAATAGTCAAGCGGATATCGTTTTTCTAACTGAGACGCATTTAGACTGTTCGATTTCAAGTGAGGAGGTTATTGGTAGTGATTATAAAGTCTACCGGAAAGACCGCGCCGGCAATGGAGCTAGACATGGCGGTGGTGTTTTGATCGCCACGAAGAAAGGCATAATCACCTCAATACGAGAACACCAAGATCTACCTTCTGAGTTACTATTTGTTGATACAATCACTGACGGAGAGAAGAAAGTAACGATTGGAACATTTTACAGGCTGCCAAATAGTGACTTGAAGCCTCTGAAAGACCTTCGGTCATACCTTTCTTCGATTACAACCACAGATCTTCTCATTACTGGAGATTTTAGCCTAAGCGAGTTTGATTGGTCTACGAACCATGCTACTAAATCATCTGAGCATCACTACCTCCTGTCTGAAATAGTTCAAGACCATTTCTTGTATCAAATGGTTGGCGAGCCTACTCGTGAGAACAACATATTAGACCTAGTACCAACAACTAACATCGACCTGATAAATAACTTGGAAGTCGGTGAACCATTCTCCGTTAATAATTCGATAACATTCATCGTAAACACTCGCTCCTACCAACAACGGATCTCAACTAAAGAAAATTGTGCATTCAACAAGGCAGACTGGAATCATCTAAGATCTTTCTTCAGTTATTCACCCTGGTACTTTACAATAGAACAACGGGACATAAATGCTAACTGGGAGGCATGGAAAGATCTTTATTTTGCAGCGGTAAACGAAAGTATTCCCAAGTACCGGCATAGAAGAAAAAACATCACTCCATGGATTACGAAGGATTTAATTAAACTGTGCAGGAAAAAGAAACACCTTTACAAAAAAGCAAAAAAATCCAACAATGAAAATCACTGGGTTGCCTATCGTACTTTGAACAATTCTTTGAAAAAGAAATGCAACTCAGCCAAATGGAGACATCTTGAGGCACTCGCAGATAAATTGCAGGTAGAGAATAATTCCAAGCCTTTTTGGAACTACATGCGTTCAATAAGAAAAGGAACTAACGACCTATTGTTCCTAAAAGATGGAAGTGTAGAAATTACTGGGGATCAGGAGATTGCACAACATATGAACGCATATTTTGCATCAGTATTTACACAAGAACAAAAGTCTCTTCCGGAATTTGATCATGTTCTCAATGAAAAGTTGTGCAATGTATTATGTACACCTAGCGAAGTGGAAAAACATCTGAAAAACCTAAACATACACAACAG